AAAACCACCGCTGTGAATTAACCACAGCACTAATGTTAAAATGAGATACACCATAATATAAAAGGGATCAAACAAATATTTCAGATATATTAGAATTGGAATTCATCAATTCAGTGGGTCCGTTGACATATGTTTGCCTAAANGTTAGGTAAAAGCTGAGCACTGATTCCATCATCTGGAGATGATAATACAAACATTCGCATCAAGTCCCACTATTCAAGTAAAAATGGCATATTTGGTCAATTAATAAATGCGACATCTAAAGCAGGCTTGATTATAATATCATCAAAACTCAAAACTCCATGTGGAAGAGATGCTGTTGTTATCAGTAGAAAAAAAAGTCTCGTGCCAATAAATATGAAAGTTTCTGCTAAGCAAACAAAAACCCAAAATGGCAAATAACATTTCTTTTGCAGCTGAAATGCAATTGTTATATTCATGATTACCAACAAAATCATTTATGCCACAAATTGAAGTGGCACGGATTACTCTTGATTTAAGTAATTCCATTATTATATTTGCTGGAACAAGCTGTTTTGGTGTACCATTGAGTTCAGACTATTAGAACCATAAGCGTTGGCAGGGAATATTCTCCATTTCAATATACACACCTTGTTGTCTTTTGCATAGTAACAATATAGTTTGGGACAGGATACCTTTCCTTGAATGTACTCCAAATTGTTGGCTTCCTGAAGAGTAGAAAATTTTATTGGAATGTCACCATCTATCGTTGTATTACCCNTTTTTTGTAGAAGCATGTCTTTTTCGGGGTTCATGTCGATCAATATCACCACATCAATACAACAAATTGTTGAAAACTTGTGCAGTGAAACAAAAACGTAGTTACTGTGTGTTACCGGCTAGTGTACTGCAGAAAGCGCGTGAATGTGCCGCAGGAGACAGCTTCTGCAGTCTGAGGCTGGGACCCTGCGTCAGCTCAAAAAGGCTTGTTTTTTGCTGTGTTTAGGGCTTTTATTTGTTTTCAAATTGGTTGATGGCTTTGGTTTATCAGTCCTAATTTTCGTAGCTGGAACTTGATGACGATGAG